ATGTGGTATCTAAGGTGTTCTTGGTGTTTTAGTGTGTCCGTATGTGGTATCTAAGGTGTTCTGGGTGTTTTAGTGTGTTTGTATGTGGTATCTAAGGTGTGCTGGGTGTTTTAGTGTGTCCGTATGTGGTATCTAAGGTGTGCTGGGTGTTTTAGTGTCTCCATATGTGGTATCTAAGGTGTGCTGGGGGTTTTAGTGCATCCATATGTGGTATCTAAGGTGTGCTTGGTGTTTTAGTGTGTCCGTATGTGGTATCTAAGGTGTGCTTGGTGTTTTAGTGTGTCCGTATGTGGTATCTAAGGTGTCGAACTATTCAAAATATCTTAGCAAGCACATAGCAACACGCTAAACCATTTAGAACACCTTAGATACCACATAAGAACATACTAAAAAACCAGAACACCTTAGAGACCACACGCCAACACTCAAACCATTCAAATCATCCTAACAACCACACAGCAACATGCTAAACCATTCAAAACACCTTGAAAATAACACAGAAACATTCTAAACAACTCATAACACCTTAACAACCACTTAGCAACATGTTAAACCACTCCAAATACCCCAGCAACCCACTAAATCATTCAGAACACCTCAGTAACCGAATACCAAAATACCGAGCAACTAAGTACACCTTAGCAACAAATTAAGACTCTAAACTATTCAGAACACCTTCAGTAAAGCATAGCTACACACCTAAACAGTCAGAACACATTAGCAACCAAAAAAACACACTAAAACTCTTAAGAACACCTTAGCAACCACATAGAGACACCTTTAACCATTTCAAACACCTTAGGTACCACACATGAACACACTAAAACACCCAGAACACTTTAGCAACCACATGGCAACACTCAAACCATTCAAAACACCTTGACAACCAAACAGCAACATGATAAACCACTCAGAATACCTCAGTAACCACACAGTAACACTCAATCATTCAGAACATATATAACAACACCCTAAACCACTTAGAACACCTTACCAAGCACACAGTACCATGCTAAACCACTCAGCAACCACATAGTAGCACACTAAAATGCTAAGAACACCTTAGCAACCACACAGCAACACTCAAACCATTCAAATCATCTTAACAAACCTTTTTGGTATCTTAGCAACCCTGCTACTGCATAGCAACACTCTAAACCATTTACATGAAGTGTTGTTGTGTGGTCACTAAGGCATTCTAAGGTGTCCTGGGTTCTGTCCATATGTGGTTGCTAAGGTGTTTTTGAGTGTTGCTATGTAGTATCTAATGTATGATTGCTAAGGTGTTCTGAGTGTTTAAGTGTGTTACTATGATGTTGCTGATGTATCTTGAGAGGTTTATCATGTTACTATGTGCTTTGGTAAAGTGTTTTGAGTGGTTCAGAGTGTTTTATACATGTTCTGAATGATTTAGAGTGTTGCTTTGTGGTTGCTATGGTGATCTGAGAGTGTTTTTGTGTGTTGATTGTGGTAACTGAGGTGTTCTGAGTGGTTTAACGTTGCTATGGTGTTCTGAGTGGTTTAAAGTATTGTAATGTAGTTGCTACGGTGTTCTTAGTTTCTAGGTATGTTGCTATGTGGCTTCTGAGGTGTTCTGAGTGGTTTATCATGTTGCTGTGTGGTTGTCAAGGAGTTTTGAATGCCACTGTGCCACTGTGTGGTCACTAAGGTGGTCTGGGTGTTTAGGGTGTTCTTATGTGGTTACTGAGGTGTTCTGAATGTTTTAGTGTGTTGCTATGTGGTTGCTAAGGTATTCTGAGTAGTGTATCATGTTGCTAAGTGGTTTCTAATGTGTTATGAGTTGTTTATAATGTTGTTTTGTGGTTGACCAGGTGTTTTGTATGGTTTGAGTGTTCTCACTAAGGTAGGTGTTTTAGTCTGTTCATATGTGGTATCTAAGGTGTTCTAAATGGTTATGAGTGTTGCTAAGGTATTCTTAGTGTTTTAGTCTGTTGCTATGTGATTGCAGAGGTATTCTGAGTAATGTAACATGTGGTTAAGTGGTTGCTAAGGTGTTATGAGTTTTTTAGAATGTTGTTTTTTGGTTGACAAGGTGTTTTAAATGGTTTGAGTGTTGTTGTGTGCTCACTAAGGTGTTCTGGGTGTTTTAGTGTGTTCATATGTGGTATCTAAGTGTTCTAAATGGCTTAGAGTGTTGCTGTGTGGTTGCTAAGATATTATTCTGAATGGTTTAAGGCAGTGGTTCTCAAACTTTTTACAGCGGCGTACCCCCTGGGGCATTTAACATTCTTCTGCGTACCCCCGCTCTTCCACTTAGACTGCAGTCACACCTTTTCTATTAAAGGACAATTTGCCCCCTTAAATTGATTTAAAGGTGCATTTTAACCTTTATAGATGCAAATATTTTCTATCCTTATTAATTGTCATGTTTTCTGTCATATTCTTAAAATTCCATTAAGTGTATTATTAATATGACAAATAAAGCAATAAATGATGGCAAATCGAAGTGACACTTGTAGATTTAAAAATAAAACCGCCAATAGGTGGCGGCAAGTCGCTGTCTTAATGAGCCAGGCGTCGTGTCATTCATTCATTCATTCATTCATTCTTTCAGTAAAGAAGCAAAATTCTGTAGTTATGAATGGGTTATTAATCACGGGGTCTCCAAATCGTTCAAAGCCGCAGATTTGTTCACTAATGAAACACCGCTGTATGTCGCTTGGAGACGCACACCAGATGATATTTCGTTGGAACTATTATTTCGTTGCAAAATAGAACAAACATGACAATATTATGTTTAAAATGTCGGCTACATTTAAAATGTAAAATGTTCACTTAATATTACCTTTTTTTGCTAAACTGATGTAATAATTAATGGCACATTTGCCATCGTTTGGATATTCAGGGAAATTTGCATTCTTGCTCGCATCTTAAATATGAACACAATAACACGCACAGTGTGTCTGTATCAAAGAGAGTTTCAATAGATCTCAGTCCGTGTCAATATTTGCTCTTCATGCTATTAAGTGAAGACCTACTTTAAAGATACATTGAACAGCAGCGCGATTTGCTAAAGCAGCATATTCAGCGGGCATATCCTATCACATGCACGCTGCTTGTGTGGATGCAGTCAGTTTTGACCGCAAAAGATGCTGTAAGCTGATTGGATATCATGTATTTGACCGTTTACTTACGGCACTCCCATTCCTGTTTTTACATTAGAAGCGGCATTTTGCTTGCCAGAAATACGTTCGGTTTTAATGTTACTTTTAAGTTGGGGTAGAATTAAATGAATGCCAAAACTCAGAATTTTGTTTGCGTACCCCCCTCTGTCATCTCACGTACCCCAGTTTGAGAACCACTGGTTTAAGGTGTTTCTGTGTTGTTGCTGAGATGTCCTATGATATGTGGTTGCTATGGTGTTCTGAGTGTTTAGGTGTCTTGCTATGTGGTTATTAATGTGTTTTGAATGTTTATGTGTGTTGCCATGTGGTTGCTGAGCTGTTTTGAGTGTTTAGGTATGTTGCCATGTGGTTATTAAGGTATTTTAAGTGTTTAGGTGTGTTGCCATGAGGTTGCTGAGGTTTTTCGAGTGTTTAGGTATGTTGCCTTGTTATTGCTGAGGTGTTTTGAGTGTTTAGGTATGTTGCCATGTGATTATTAAGGTGTTTTGAGTGTTTAGGTATGTTGCCATTTGGTTGTTAAGGTATTTTGAGTGTTTAGGTGTGTTGCCATGTGATTATTAAGGTGTTTTGATTGTTTAGGTATGTTGCCATTTGGTTGTTAAGGTATTTTGAGTGTTTAGGTGTGTTGCCATGTGGTTGCTAAGGTATTTCGATTGTTTAGGTGTGTTGCCATGTGGTTGCTAAGGTGTTTAGCGTGTTTTAGAGTATTATGTGTGTTTTTAATAGTTAGTGTTGCTAAGGTGGTTGCTAGTTGGTTGCATTCTATTAGTATAGGAGTTCTTCCTTCAGTCTAAGTTTATGGGAATTTTTGGCTGTTTTACTGTTCACCAGACAAAATAGTACATCTGATGGATTAGAAAAGTAACAGCATGAATCTCTCCTCCACATTATTTGCGGTTTCAGTCATGTACTTTCTTTATGGCACACTCAAGTATATAATGCACAGCTTACCTGAATTATGTCTACCTCTTGAGTTTTGTTTTGTCAAACAGCTTGCAAACCTTATTTGCATAAGAACTCCTATGTTTATATGTGTTGCCATGTGGTTGCTGAGCTGTTTTGAGTGTTTAGGTATGTTGCCATGTGGTTATTAAGGTATTTTAAGTGTTTAGGTGTGTTGCCATGTGATTATTAAGGTGTTTTGAGTGTTTAGGTGTGTTGCCATGTGATTATTAAGGTGTTTTGAGTGTTTAGGTGTGTTGCCATGTGATTATTAAGGTGTTTTGAGTGTTTAGGTATGTTGCCATTTGGTTGTTAAGGTATTTTGAGTGTTTAGGTGTGTTGCCATGTGATTATTAAGGTGTTTTGATTGTTTAGGTATGTTGCCATTTGGTTGTTAAGGTATTTTGAGTGTTTAGGTGTGTTGCCATGTGGTTGCTAAGGTATTTCGATTGTTTAGGTGTGTTGCCATGTGGTTGCTAAGGTGTTTAGCGTGTTTTAGAGTATTATGTGTGTTTTTAATAGTTAGTGTTGCTAAGGTGGTTGCTAGTTGGTTGCATTCTATTAGTATAGGAGTTCTTCCTTCAGTCTAAGTTTATGGGAATTTTTGGCTGTTTTACTGTTCACCAGACAAAATAGTACATCTGATGGATTAGAAAAGTAACAGCATGAATCTCTCCTCCACATTATTTGCGGTTTCAGTCATGTACTTTCTTTATGGCACACTCAAGTATATAATGCACAGCTTACCTGAATTATGTCTACCTCTTGAGTTTTGTTTTGTCAAACAGCTTGCAAACCTTATTTGCATAAGAACTCCTACTTCCGATGGCTCGTTCAGGGATGTTGTTTTTCATTTCTATAGTTCCAAGCTGTCATCTAGTGTTTCGTAAGTACTTCCAGCTCTTACATAAGATGCGTCAGCCCGGTTTGATTCATGTGGATGGATGGTCCCTCTGCAATGACACTGAGATTGGTTTTGATAACAGGGCCAGTGGAGCACGAGAAACAAAATGGACAATCACTGGCAAACCTAATGGAGTCTTGTACTTTATCACCTTCATAAAACACTCTGTTTCTCCTGTTCCCCACACGCACCCGCACAATCCGCCTGGCTGTTATGCAAGGTTAGCGTAGGGTTATCGGCAATCGTTATGAATTGGCTCGTATTTCTTTGCATCCTGATTGGATGCCTCTGGTGCAACATGAGATTTGTCTCTTTTCTTGTAACTACGGCAGGTACAAGATACAGTATGTAGTACTGTACAATCGTCAATACTAGAAATATTTCCACAGCCTCGGCTAATAACATGTCTTGCAAAGGTTTTTTTTTCTGAAAACATATTATCATGTGTCATAATATAAATATAATGGGCTGCAGTTATTGTAATGCGTGTGTTTGTTATTAACGTCTGCAAGCTTAAGCAATCACTAATTGCATGTTTAATCACCTCAGTGTAGTTTACTACAGTACAGTAATATGAAACTTTTTTTTACAGTCATGAATGGAGATGTGCTTTTTTTCTTGCAATAGGAGATGTGCTTCTTTTTTTCTTGCAATAGGTCACTTTAGCTGTCTATGATAATTGTGATGGCGCCGACGATGATGGCTGCCTCCGTGGCATGCTCCGCAGTTGTTTTTATGTTTTTGTTAGTTTGTCCTGTCTTTAGTTATATCCCTGCAATCAGTTTCACCAGAGACGAATTGCTGGACATTCAGCAGTACACACCCCCCGATATTTCACCAGTTTTCGATTATTCTGATGTTTTGCTGGACATTGTAGTCGGGGGAGCTGCGGCGCTGATCAAGCGCTTCAGGACGCGCAGACGGGGGAAGTGAGCCGGCGCGCTCGTGAAGCTCAGGCAGCGCGAATTCAGGATGCCGTTGCCTAGCATCCATCTAACGGACGAACTCCTTCTGCTCTCCCGGACAAATAAGGATTTTTCAAACTCTGCTGCTCTGTGTTTCACGGAAACCTGGCTGAAAGACGCCATTCCAGACAGCGCGTTGAGTCTCCCGGGCTTTCAGCTGTTCAGAGCGGATCGCGACGCAGAATCAACGGGAATATCACACGGCGGCGGGACATGCTTTTAAATCAATGAGAGGTGGTGTACAGATGTAACTGTGTTAAAGAAGATGTGCTGTTCAGATCTAGAAGTGCTCTTCATTAACTGTAAGCCTTTGTACTCGCCGCGGGAGGTTTGCTCGTTCATTCTCGTCAGTGTTTACATTCCTCCGCAAGCGCACGTGAGCTCCGCTTTACAGAAACTCGCTGATCAGATCACAGACAACAACACCCAGACTCTGTTTTAACCATTCTTGAGGACTTTAATAAAGCCAATCTCTCCCGTGAACTGCCAAAATACAGACAGCACATCACATGTCCCACCAGAGACAGTAATATATTGGATCACCGTTACACCACAATAAAGAATGCATATCACTCTGTCCCACGGGCAGCTTTAGGACTCTCTGATTACTGTTTGGTTCATCTTATACCGACCCACAGTAAATACACACTGAAAAAGGATATCAGAGTGGCAAAGAGGAATTATTCTGAAAAAATAAGGATTCAATTCTCTTCCAGTGACTCAGCATCAGTGTGGAAAAGTCTGAAAGAGATCACCAACTACAAGACACCATCCCCCAGCACTGTGGAGAATCAACAGAATTTTTTTTATTATCTGTGTTTTTTGTTCTGTCGCTGTCATGCTGTTACACTGTGGAAGCTTCTGTCACGAAAACAAATTCCTCGTATGTGTAAACATACCTGGCAATAAAGCTAATTCTGATTCTGATTTTGTTTCTTGTAGCAGTATACCGTGATATTACCTTTTTTTGTTTTCTTGGTTTGTTTGTTTTAGTTTTTTGTTGAACTTGCTTTTTGTTTAATTTAGTTTCTACTTTGTTTTTATTTTGCTTGGTCTTTAGAAAACAAAAAAGCTGAAAAATTTGTGTTTTTTTTTTTTACTTGTATACTGTCAGTGCAAAATATTAAATGTTTTCTTTCCCCACACAAAGCTTCATCCACTTTCTATTTCGTCCTGTTTCCCTGTGGTCCTGATTTTTACTGAACATCTGCTATCATCTCTCTGCAAGTTTTTTTTTATATTACTGCTGCAAAGGCCTATTACAGTGTTCTTATGCTCAGAATGAGAGTTCAGAGTTCACGTTTGCTGGCAAGCTTCCAAAACTCTTTGTGCAGAACGAATAGAAAAGCAGCCTTGTGAAATCTGCCTGCTTAGTCAAGAGCATTACTAATTAGCGTTGCAAAAAGGTGGAAAATTTCCAGTAAATTTCAGAAATATTCCAGGGCTTTTTGGAAAGTTTCCGGATATTTTCCACCCCTTTGCAACCCTATTACTAATTCCTCTTATACTGAGTGCTTATATATAATGAGTTAGTGTAATTAACAATTGAGTTTGACAGAATGTGTGAAATGCATTTATTTTTTACCATTGAGGTGATTTCAGGATTAAATATAAACCAATGCTGAAGGAAACTAAACGTTGTTTCTTGTACCTTGTCAACTTGTCAACTTGCCTTTTGCATTAGTTTTTATTTTATTTTATTTATATATTTATTTTTATTTATTTGTTTATTTTTGCTGTCATTGCATCAACAAAGAAACAAAACAATAAATTTCATCACCAAACAAAATATAAACATTTTCTTTTCATGTTGTTTTTGTTTTGTTTTGTTTTGTTTTCATTTGTTTTTTTGTGTGTTAATAGATTATAATTCCTCCCCAAATATTTAATCTTAACTTGTTATTTTACCAGGGATAAAGTAGTTAACTAAAACCTTAATAAAAATGTTACTTAAAATAAAATAAATGTTTACTGAAATAAAATAAAATAAATATATATATATATATTTTTTTTTACTCTTTTTTCAACTATTTGCCAAGATGGCATTTCTACTTTTACTTGAAGTACTAAAGTAACAAAAACTAAATAAATTAAAACTAATACATAAAATAATAAAAGCTGTAAACTATTAAAATGACAAAAACACTCAACAAAATTACTAAAAATAAAATCTAATTCAAAATATTGCTAAAAACCATAAAAGTATACTGAAATAGCATTCTACTTGACCCATGCTATCTTATATCTTGTTTTTCAGTAAATCAGTAAATTTAAAATACCATCACTCAGGACTGTGGTCTTCTCTTTTACATTTCAAATGAGCCATTTTGTTTCATTCTCCTTTTTGTGAATAAAACAAATGAGGTCTGATTCACAAGGTGATCTAAGAAGAACGCTGTCACAGGAACAGCGATGAACTGCAGTAACTAGTTCTTACTTTTTTTCTGCATTGCAGCTTGCATGGAAGATACCACGAGCTGGCTCCACATTTGGTTCCAATGGACTACACCAACGACCCTGATGTTAAAATCCCTTTAGCCCTCATAGTCAACATGCCGGAACTGAAGGTAATGCTAACTATTCACTATAGAACTCCCCTTCCAGTTTGCACACAACAGCATAAGTGGGGGCAGAAATATTCCCGTTCTCTTGTTTAAGCAACATGATGCTTGTGCATTGACCCTCACTGCACATTTAGTTTATATCAGATATAATAGACACTAGTTTTTATAGGGCAAAATTGGTTTTTAATGGCTACGCTGGCTGGGCTGTTTATATGACAAAGTACAAGCGGTGGGAGCGAGCGATATAACACCACTATGCTTGTGAAAGTTAACGCTCCATGAGATGATGCCATTTCAGCAAATTATGTTAGCGCTTTAGATATTCTATGGTTGTAAAGACGCATACATTTAATCGAACTACAGCGCCAAGAGATCGTTTATAGGATTAGCCAATAAGAGCATTAGCATTATGCTAGTATTAAAGTAATAATGATGTTACTTAGTAGAGGTAACACTTTATTAGTGCCATTCCTGAACTGATTATTTTAAAACTCTTTCAGATTATCTCCTTTCAAATACGAACTTGTACTTTTTTAAAAACTCTGTAAAGCCTATTGTATTATATTTGATATGCAAATATTGGAGGCTTCTAAATTATCCCTACGATCAAAACTTTGCTGAAAAACCTGTTTTTCAATCTACTACATGCTCTATGTCATCTGATTTATAGGTTATGCTTTTTAGCAAGTAGGGACTTTTAATATAATTGTAAACACATCCTTTAGGTTGTGGCTCACGTATCTTTTCACGGTGAAAGAAAACTTTTATAATGCTAGCAAAGATGAACACAAACTGGACTGAAGCAATTTAGGTTTACTTTATTATCCATAATTTTTTAGAAATATATTCAAATGTGAGTATGAAATATAGTGGTCGACCGATATATCGGCCGATATTTGACATTTTTTAAATATCGGCATCGGCCGATACGTTTTTCTGTTTGGCCGATGCGTTCGAGGTGGAACTTTTATTTTGACGGCAGCGCCTGAGCACACAGTGCTCACATTCTCCCTCTTGTTCACTGTCGTCCTTAACAGTTCTGTCTAATAATCAGATAGAATGGTTAAACAAAGGAATTAAAATGTATACAAAAAATATTATAACGATTGCTTTTATATTATTAGTAATAGAAAGGCAAACATTATAATACTTTATTGTTTGCCAGCAGCATTCAGCAAATACGCATTTAAAAAATTTAAACGACTAATGAACATTTAGTTTCACAAACCTTGCAAACTTAGTCGGATCCAGTTGTGAGATCTTGTGAAGTGTGCATTTGTATCCTGCATGATGGCATGTTCTCTGCGTGACGGTCGGTCTGTGTGAATTGAATGCTGACAGGAGGAGAGTATAGCTTCACTGGAGACACGCGATCGACAAACTTTAAACTCGTGAGTTCAAATTATGCTGCGCTTTATGCATTTGCCAACTGCCATATTAATGTCATTTTCACTGTGTGCTGTATGTAAAATGAGTGTTACCTTAGCTTTATTTGAGAAAATATGATTCCCAATGCACACAAACTTCCCAGAATACTGAGTGCCCTGTTGGTTACAGTGTTTACTTCCTTTTTTTATTATATTTTTTATTAAATATTTATTTATTTGTGAAAAATACTTTGCCATAAAGTATACGTGTTTATTTAACACATTTATTTTTTAATCTATTTTCAAATTATTTTTACATTTCTTAAATATTAATTAAAATAAATATAATTATATCGGCTTTACATCGGCCACCCTGCTTTCCAAGATATCGGCATCGGCTGTCAAAAAAACAATATCGGTCGACCACTAATGAAATATGAAACACAGTGCTTTTTGAGGAATCTTTCAATCATCATTATATTCAATTGCATTATATTGTTCACCACAATAAAAACACAATAGAGCTTTGATCATAAAACTGTTTTTTATATCATCTTACTAAGACATATTATTGGGAGATAAAGAGTGACATCTGATATTTATGTCTATACTTTACTTATATATATATTTAAGTAATCTGCTATACTGTTAAAAAGATCCAATTGATTTACATTACAAGCTATTTGATTTAAATAAGCCATATGCACCTTTTTTCGAAATATTAAATCTAAAGGTTCAATCTAATAAAAAAAATTGTTAATTAGAGCTGAGGATTCATTATAACGATCATATCGCTGATCCAATCTAAACGTTCCTTAATAATTCAGACCCAACCCTCAAAATTGGCTGGATGTTACGGCTCCAGAATGAGCCCCATTATGTCCCCCTTGCTGGAGACATAATTTTACCGCCCTCTAAAGCCGTCAGATGCACGAAGGAGCTATAAACCCAACCCTAGGAGGTGGATGATACTGATGGAGACCACTCAAGCTGGGATTGATGGGACTATGACAGCTTCCAGTTTGCAAAGATCCTCTCAGCCTTCGTAAACATAAATCTCTGACCCTTCAGTTGGATAATTAGCCTTTTTGTGCAGAAGTAGAGTGATTTAACACATCAGAGCGTTAGAGGGCTGTTTTCTTGACATCTGCCAATACAAATGCCTCTGAGTTTTTTGACGTACACATTGATGGATGTTTTTTATGATATTGCCCGTAAGGCAGTCTAAATTTTCTTCAATTCGAATTGCAATCCAATTTCATGTTCATTTACATGTGCATTACATGTGTTCAGAAACTAGTGCAATAATGTCCATAATCACAGTTTTTGCCTTGCAGACATATCAATAAATAAATAAGATGTAATGTGTATCAGACAAGAGGTTTTAGCAAATATTCAGTCTTCTCCACTGACCAGTTTGGAATATAACACATGTAAATACTGCACTGCGCATATGTGCAAGGTATTTTGAAATGAAATTAAGAAAATAGTCAGATTCAAGCATTTACGTGCCAGATTATTTTTCTAATCTACACCTTCTAATCTGTTGTTGAACTTTCATTTGATAGCAGTGTTTACAAGAAGGCTATTCAGTATGATTTAGTCATCAATCCAGTTACTAACAGATTATTTGGATCTGAAATCATGCCTGAAGTTCCTTCAAGTTGAGCTGTGGTGCTTGCTATGGCTTATACTCCTCACTTGAGCAAACCCATAACCCGAAGTAACATATTATATCTCAAATCCTACATGTAAAGCTTGCTATTTTGACCTTGCAGATGGTAAAATGGCACAAAAATATCACCTGGGATGGTGTAGTTATAATTCTGCACAGGATGTTGAGTGTTTAAAGCAGAGCAGAGACATCAAGTTTGATCTTGCGAAATGCAGAGCACAAATTCTGAGTATGGGACACTATAGCCACACGTCATGTCACTGTCACTGTTAGTAAAATATTTCAAAGAATAGTGTGGTATTATGTGATTTTTATGGTTTCACCATTGCACCTTTAATTGTAGGTTTCCATAAGAATATCCAGATAAATTTTCCACAGTGTTGTTTCTGTTAACTGTTACTGTCATTTTCAGTCATTGAAATTAAGCTGAAATAAAATGTAATATAAATAGATGGAAAAAATGAAGTTGAAGTACTGAGAATACTAAAACTACAATCAACATCAAATCAAACAATCAAAAAAAAAAAGAATCACACAACAAATTAGCTAAAACGTAGACTGACACTGAAAATACATAAAAATCTTACTAAATACAAAGTTCTGTCATGAAACTCTACATGGCGCAGACCGATAGGTTCTAACTCAATCTGATATAATCACATCATTGCTCACACGGTGCAGCTGATTGGTTTCTTTTTGCATCAGCAGATTGCTGCTCAACATTCAAAAACTTGGCTAGTGCTTTGCTGTAGCAGTTGCAGCACACTTCAGAAACCCTCCACCTTCCCCAGCTCCACCTGTATAGATCTGCTACACAATCAAAAAAAAAAAAAGAATCACACAACAAATTAGCTAAAACGTAGACTGACACTGAAAATACATAAAAATCTTACTAAATACAAAGTTCTGTCATGAAACTCTACATGGCGCAGACTGATAGGTTCTAACTCAATCTGATATAATCACATCATTGCTCACACGGTGCAGCTGATTGGTTTCTTTTTGCATCAGCAGATTGCTGCTCAACATTCAAAAACTTGGCTAGTGCTTTGCTGTAGCAGTTGCAGCACACTTCAGAAACCCTCCACCTTCCCCAGCTCCACCTGTATAGATCTGCTACAGGGTAATTTCATGTATGTTATATATGGAGATTATTTCATGTATGTTATGTATGTTATTTTCTACATGCTCGCAGTAGTATGTCTGTGGATGTATTGGCAGTAGCAAGTCGGTACTTGCTCTGCTGCAACAGAATCGTAGCAGATCTATTCCAACAAGACCAAACACATTAACATTGCCATGTACATTACCATGCTAAACTCTCAAAGAGTTGTCATGACAGAAACACTATAATAGTAAATAGACAGATCATACTAAAAATACAATAATATTGCAGCCTCTCTAGTTCTTTTTATAGTGTTATCCCAATAAACCTAATAAAATATTCAATTTCGGTTTTCTAGGAGAATCCGTTCAGGAATCGGATTGTGGAATCATTCTCTGAAGACGGCCAGGGGAACCTCAGCTTCAACGACTTTGTGGACATGTTTTCAGTACTCAGTGAAATGGCTCCCAGAGAACTGAAAGCCATTTTTGCTTTTAAAATATACGGTAAAAGTCATTTTTTATTAACTCATGTACAGTCCACAAGGACAAAAATATTTTTTTACACTGTGATTGTCACAGTGCACAGTTTTAGAGGTTGTAATAAACATTTATATTGCAACTTTCATAAACGCTGCAGCAATTTTATAACATGATCACCTTTTGTAGTTAATTATTATCTTCTTGTTTTGTTCTTAGACTTCAATGTGGATAATTACATCTGCAAGGAGGACTTGGAAAAGACTCTAAACAAGTTAACGAAGGAGGAGCTAACACCAGAGGAGGTTAATCTGGTGTGTGAGAAGGCCATTGAGGAGGCCGACCTGGATGGAGACAACAAGCTCTCCTTTGCCGACTTTGAGAACATGATCTCCAGGGCGCCTGACTTTTTAAGGTAAGAACAATAGATGTAATAATGTGACTTATTTCCTCAGATGCATTCTATTCAGAGTTTTGCTTATTATAAATTGTAATTTAAAGTTAGGTCTTTGGTAGTTCAGTCTATTTTAGATGGTGGAGAATGCGGGCACAATTCTCATTATATAATTTAATTAATCACTAAGATAGATTGAATTAAATAGTCAAATCTAACAAAAAAATGGCAATTTAATTTCTATTAGTGTTCTGTAGTGTTAACTTAGCAACAGGCTAACATCAAACTCATCGAAATCTATTGAAATAAATTGCAAGTTGAGTTACTATTTGTATGATGTATAGATTTACTGCCTGTGTAGACTTTCCCAAAATCAGTTGCATATTAGCTTATTTTCTTGGATAGCATGCTGCCGTATGTACTTACGCTTATGTACTACTTACTAGTTTGTACTTCACAGAAATGATGCTCATCATTTTACTGGGAGTTCATGTGTTCATATCAGACATACTAAGTCCTTATCAGTGTAAAGGCAGTTATGCTAGTTGCTAAAGTTCTAGTTAGCTTTCTACTCTGGAGGCACGCTGCTATAATTTGGCTGCAGTGCGCTTAAATATGCTTTATAGTGCAAGAGTTCTTCTGCTTGGCTTTTACAGGCCTTTTTGGACTGCACAGCTGTGCCTCACTGACCACGTGATTGAGAGGGACAGGAAGGATTTGTACCATCATTTGGAGACCTGGATGCCAAAAAAATCTAGAATTGCTTTCAGCAGCTGTCATTCAAAGAGAGAATTACTTTCTTGAACACTCATAGAAAGTTAACGTAGAAGGGATTTATGCCCTTAGCATTCTGCTGACTGTACTTTTTTGTAACTTAAAGGTGAAGTGTCATTTCTGATTACAAATTACAATATATTTGTACAAATTACAAAATAAACAAAAAACAACACTGTTTGCATGACTCAACCATTTAAAACTTTAATGGGAACATGTACCCCTAAATCAGATCTCATATACACATTCATTATAGAGTTTAAGGATTAACAGTGCTACAAGAGACACTTTTAATTATGTTTCATTTTTTTATTAATCTGCAGTGCTTCTTTCTGAAAATAATTAGATTAAGTGCTGTTGCATAATCACTGAGTGGCCAATTCACTAAACACATTTTTGCACATGGTATTTCAACACAAATACCTGTGTCTTATTTATTAAACACTCACAGTCCAGCTTAATCAGGTGCTAAATGCTGTAAACTCGGCATTCCATTAAAAAGTTTGGGAGTAATGGCTGTTAAAAATGGCTGTTTTACATCACATGAATAAATTACATTTTAAAACACATTACAATAGAAAACTAAAATAGAAAAATTACAAAAGTACATATTTTACTATATTTTTGATCAAATTAATGTAGCCTCGGTGACCAAAACTTAATTCATTGAGACTTCATTCAAAAACATTTTTAAAAACTTTACAACCTTTAAACTGGTAGTAAAATATAATTTTTCAGATAAATACACTTTTTCGCCATTTTTGTGCCATTACCTGATTATGCACGTTTCTTTATCGAATCAGTTTTGGGAGGAAAAAAAACATAGAAAACATATAGAAACCAATAGGAACAATTCAGTCTTTGTAAATTGCTTCTTCACTGTTTTAAACATTCGTTCAAATGACAGTAAAGGGTGACATATGGTAAAAAACTCCTTTTAAGAGAATGACACAGCACTTTCCCCAAGTGTCGTGTGCACAGGTGGTTAATGTCTACTGTTGAAGATCTATGACAAAGGCTTGGAGCTCAATTCTTTCTGCTATTTGATCTGGTGGAATTCCAAATTCATTTTAGAATCAATTGTATTACCAAAATGCCATCAGAAGCCATCTGCTCTTCATCCTGGTTCTTCTCGAATATTTTTTTAAATCACATTGTGAACATTAATGATACGTTACCAGTGAGACAGCAGAAATCGACTTGAGTGGTTAAGACTAATGCCATCGCTTTAGGGACATGAAACGGCGTAATTCGATTTTGACTGGTCCTTATGTTTTTATGTTTAATCTAATATGCTCTTTCTGTCTGTCATCTTTCTGTACTGCAGCACCTTCCATATACGAATCTAAATTGGCTTCAGTGGAAGACACAAATGCTGATGTTCCTTGAACAGATAAGTCCATATCGGAGGATAAATGTCTACTGTTGTTTTCCTTTGATTTTTGGAAATACACTTGACAGGATTACTGACTGACATGGCTGTTTCATTACCAATGAAAAGTTTGGATCAAAAATCCCTTGTGTTTTCGGAGAAAGGAAATGGAAAGTTGAGGCCTTTTGTGGGTTTGAACCACACACCTCGTCCTGGAGTAAAACTAATGTGGATTGTAAACCACTTTTATGGGCTTCTACCAATGTCCGTGGCACATTGGACACAAATTGAACTCACTCTCCCACTTCTAAGACTCTTATTTGGGATCAAATAAATCATGGGACAGTTTTCATTTAGGAAGGGACAAACAAACTGGACAAGAGAGTGAGAGAGAGAGGGCTACAAGCACATTATTGGCATCAGCGCCACCGAGACAGAGTTTTCTACAGCTATGCAATCTTTCTCCATAAAATGCATGAATTAGATTACGGTCCCCAACTTTTCCCTTTCCCTAATGTCCCGACAGCTTTGCCATTTCACAATCTAATTGCTTATAGAACTGGAGCATGACGACAATCATATCTAAATGTTCTCCAGTTGAATGAAGGGCTCTGTCATCATATATTCTCTAATTGTCTTCTCTGTCATTCGCTCTCCATGTATTTGTTCCGCCCACAGATCCCTCTATCCTTTCTGTCCTAACTTGAGGTGTTAGTGTCAAACTGTCTCTTACCTTTTTTCAGTATTTGATGTGATAGAGGGCATTTGACTTAACTTTTAATAAAGGTTTTCTGTTGATTGTTGACTGAGTGCATCTATTGATATTTTGGGGTTAATGCTTGATTTTGTGACAAAATGTATTATTTAAAGGGATAGTTCACACAAAAATTAAAAGTCCATCATCCTTTACTCACTCTCATGTTGTTCCAAACCTGTATTTTTCTTCCGTAGAACGAAAATTACGAAGAATGTTCACGTCGCTCTTTTCCAAAAAGTATAAAAATCACCACAAACAGTAGTCTATGTGACTTGTGCGCTACAATGCCTTTTTTTTTTTTTTGAGGGACAGATTATAATTTATGACACTGACAATTTTGACCTCTGCTGTAGGGATAGTTCACCCAATAGTGAAAATTCTGTCATTAATTACTCACCCTCATGTCGTTCCAAACCCATAAGACATTTCGTTCATCTTCAAAACACAAATGAAGATATTTTTGATGAAATCCGAGAGCTTTCTGACCCTGCATAGACAGCAATGCAACTGACATGTTCAAGACCCGGAAAGTGAGTAAGGACATTGTTTAAATAGTCCATGTGACAAAAAAAAAATTCTCAAACACTGACACGGAAGAGAAGAAATTGTTGAATAAAGTCCTTATATTAGTTTTCTTTATGCACAAAAAAGTATTCTCATAGCTTCATAACATTACGGTTGAACCACTGATGTCACATGGAAAATGTCCTTACAACCTCTACAATTTATCTCATAATTTCAAATTTGTTGTCATTGATTTTATCTCATATCGGCTTGTCATAATTTTGACTTCGTCATCATTGACTTTTTATCTCAATTTCAAATTTGTCATCACTGACTTGTCATCTTGATTGTCTTGACTTAGTTTGTCATAATTATCTCATAATTGTTTGTCATAATTTAACCTTTTTGTCATTATGACTTTTTCTCATAATTTCAACTTTGTCGTCATTGATCTGTTGTCTTTATCTCATAATTAAGACTTATTTTGTCATAATTATGAATATATGAATCGTTTTTTTTCATGAAATTGAAAACATTTCATAATATACAGGTGCATCTCAATAAATTAGAATGTTGAGGAAAATTTAATTTATTTCAGTAATTCAACTCAAATTGTAAAACTCGTGTATTAAATAAATTCAGTGCACACAGACTGAAGTAGTTTAAGTCTTTTAATTGTGATGATTTTGGCTCACATTTAACAAAAACCCACCAATTCACTATCTCAACCAATTAGAATATGGTGACATGCCAATCAGCTAATCAACTCAAAACACCTGCAAAGGTTTCCTGAGCCTTCAAAATGGTCTCTCAGTTTGGTTCACTAGGCTACACAATCATGGGGAAGACTGCTGATCTGACAGTTGTCCAGAAGACAATCATTGACACCCTTCACAAGGAGGGTAAGCCACAAACATTCATTGCCAAAGAAGCTGGCTGTTCACAGAGTGCTGTATCCAAGCATGTTAACAGAAAGTTGAGTGGAAGGAAAAAGTGTGGAAGAAAAAGATGCACAACCAACCGAGAGAACCGCAGCCTTATGAGGATTGTCAAGCAAAATCGATTCAAGAATCTGAGTGAACTTCACAAGGAATGGACTGAGGCTGGGGTCAAGGCATCAAGAGCCACCACACACAGACGTGTCAAGGAATTTGGCTACAGTTGTCGTATTCCTCTTGTTAAGCCACTCCTGAACCACAAACAACGTCAGAGGCGTCTTACCTGGGCTAAGGAGAAGAACAACTG